ATTGGCTTAAGTTGCTCGCTTTCATACGCATAGTTCTACCCAAAGTACCTCTGTGGGTACTCCAGACCACAAATCTTCCCGCTTTGGTACATCATATTTTCCAAGCTTCAGTGTTTGAACAACTCAGGTTTCCAAACGCGCCATTGGTAATCGGGATAAACGAAAAGCTGAACCTAATGTATCTTTGTCTGAATCGCTTCCTCAAAGCATTCATCGATTTTATGACTACACAACTATCGGACCTTGGAGCAGACTGCTCCGAGAACGGATGCTTTTACTCTCCTAAGGTGCAGTTCATATTTGCTCTTAAATGCTCTAGCTGAGTCTTCGTTCAAAAGTATTGTTTGTATGCTTATGTGCTTGTAAAATCTAGGCCTGGGATCTAGAACAACTCAACAGGTTTCTGAGCTACCTAAACATTTGTACCACATTCCTGGATAGGTGCATGTTGATCGGTACTCCGAGTCTTCCTGACTTGGTCAAATGAATTCCTTTATCAGAAACACCAGAATACTCAGGACGCTTCCATTCACGCTTAGTCTCCCGTCGGTGTGATAAGAGAACTCGTTTCGGAATTCGATGTCAGTCGAAAGCGGTTGGGTTGAATGTTCCTATGGTGAATCTATTTCGGACTCACAAGCAAACTACTGATGGGGGCGCAAGTAGCTTGACACCGGTGTGATTTACGCGAAGGCGCGCTATGGTGGTAATGCCCCCGAAATTCGCCAGTAAGGTACCATTCGAAGGACAGTCGTCTGGGGATTTATGGCCTAGTGTGTCAATACAGAAGTAAAGCAACAGCTGTCGAAGAACCACAAGAAGTACCACTTCTAAACACTGTTCGGGGGAACGGGGATGGAGTGCAGCATCACAGAACTGCCCAAAGTTCCCGAACAAAGGGATATTGCCGGAAACAACTTGAAGAAGTTGATACCTCCACAGTGACAAAAGTAAAAGCACAAGATCAGGTGAATAGTCCTGCCTCACGTCAAGAACGTCTGAGCTCACATCAAAAATGTTATAGCTTGGAACCACGAGAGAGGTCAAGCACAGAACTCAATCCATTACCGACGAGAGCAGAGTGAGTCGAACTCAAAGTTCACGTGGTTGCCCGAGAACCAGGACACAGGATAATAGATCAGCCAATAGAGTCGCTTGATCCAACAATCCACCATAATATAATGTTTGACCTGGCTAGAAGTACGTCCCTATTCAATGCATAACCCTAATGCACCCTTATGCTGTGTATCCTAACAACGCACTGGCGAAGCAATCTTGATTGGTAATGGAACGTCTGAAACTCTAGCTCATGGAATAAACCAACGACTATGAAGCATTTTGATGCACATGGTTCCAACCAACATCACTGATTGGTGGATTTTCATGATCCGTGCGTTTAACCGTTTAGCACAACTACAAAATACAAAAATAGTCTGTCGTCCTCAATCACTTACTCCTTTGCGCAAGCCCGGAATCCACGTTGTCAAGGAAGCATTCACCAAGAGCTCATCGAATCCAAAGCACGCGTCCAACAGAAAACCTCGCTGATAACATCCTGGAGTATCTTGTGTGGTTAGGTGTACAGCACAAGTCCGATGGATCGATTGTAAGTTATGCACTCTGAGACGTTCCATTTCAATCCCGTCGGACAACTCCACCGGTTGATTCATACGAATGACTGACTTATTAGTGAGCAAATTTTGAAGTAGTACATCGATAAGTTGATCCAATGCACCCGATCCTAAGTCGATTGGTGGGTCGATCAGTGGACAAGATTTTTCGACTGTGACTGGAACGCGAAAAAGGTATTTACAAAAAGTGATCATTTTTAGAAATAAACAAATGTATTTGCAAGTAATGTGTCCATGTTTAGTCACAGCATGCGCAAATCACTCTCCACGGTTTACTTTGGTCTTTGAAAGGCATTTATTTGAGATTTTGTGATGAAGCGACTGATTCTGAAGCCCACTTTATATTTTTCTAGTCTTATTGTTGTAGTTCTTTTATTTCCTATCGCAATTTTATCAACATACTTCATTGATTTCGTGTCACGTCCCAAAGTCTTTCCACGTAAGTCCCCTTAGCAGCCATAAAACTGTTCCGTGGACTACGTTTAGGTTATTCGATTCTTGGTGTCTAAGAGGTAACCTATTCATCAGCTGTTTGTACGGAGGCGATCAGCTGTCTGTGTGCACACAGAAGTCGTTCGGAAGTTTCCATGAGCGCTTGTTTCTGTTGTTTCGAAGTGGCAGAAATCTTGATGTGGACAGAACTTGATATGACAGAATGGAATGATATATGTTGCTAAAAGTTTCTGCGCTGTCCCACTTCCACGCACGTGCTTGGTTGGGCAATGTGGCGACTAACCGATGTGAGTGACGTTCGTACGGTCAGCTTCTGTCCACATAGTCTGACTGTGTGTAGACAACCCGTCACTGCCGTCTTCCTGGATGGGGACCCCGAGACAGGCCACATTAATGGCTAGAGACATTGGCCAGTCATGCCCTCAATGGCGCTCGTGCATCCAGACTATTACTTGCAATGCACAGCTACTTTTCCACCCCACACTTGACAGCCCACTGACAGTGCTGGATTTATGCACCAATTTATCATCTCCCGCCTGCAATGCGCAGCTACCTACCCCCCTCCCCAAAATCATCGATGAACGAAACTGCGGCAGCTACAACCACTGTACGACGAGTACGCGGTTATTACAGCTGTCAATGATGATGATGATGAGACACCCCCGATTTGCCCTAGGTCTCCCTCTCTGTCCCTTTATTTCCACTATTTATCAGTTGTGCGGTAGTGAAGCATCAGAGTTTTCCTCTGGTGTCTGAATCATTCGTTTTTCCACAGTTCTCCGCCAATCCTTCCACAGTCGTACTAGACAGTTGAAATTAAAGGCTGGACTGCAGTTTCTATCTTATTCGAGCTAACCAGTGGGTTCACATTCCCCGTTCTATGTGGACTGGAATCCTGTTGAACAACTTTGTGTGCAACTGGTCTACGGGACAGAAACCCGATCCACGTTGTGCTTTGACCTTATTGTGCCTGGTTGGAGACACTAGAAGATATGGCTGCCAACCGATGTCAGTGGCGTTCTTGTTGTCAGTTTCTGTCCAGATCGCCTGAGTGAATGTCTGGAGGTGTAGGCACTTCGGAATGATTGTGTTAAGCTAGCACTAAGTTCCTTCCCCGTCCACCTTTATTCTTTTCTTCACAATCAGGCTTTCAATTTAATCATGGTTGTACGGCAGCGAAGCATCGGCGTTGAACACTGATGTCATGCTGTCGATGATGATGATGACTGTCTGTGTGACTTGAGATGATAGGCTCTAATCTTTCTGTTGGAGCCACCCCGTCAAAGCAGCTGGTTTGCTATTTTAGAGCTTTAGAAGACCGTATCTTAACATCCGTCTTCTTACGTTTCTTGGCTCGCTAAACTGTCTTTCTTTGTTTAGCTTGAGCACAGTCCGACCAACATTAGTGACCAAAGTCGGTCACACGATCAGTATGTGACCGCAGCATTACTCGCTTCCGATCGTCGCCTTGAAAACCAGTTGCTCCCCACTGTAATGTAATGTAAGTTGACGATACGTTGCACAGAACGGACACCAGAAACAAAAATATTAATACGAAAAGTATAAGGTAACTTGAACGAAATAGCACAACTATAGTTACTTTTACGTCGTCACTCGAAGAACCAGTCAACATGTGACCACGTGATGTATATTCGGTGGTTGAAAAATGAATGGCGCTACACCCTCTCTAGGCGCCAGTTAAGCATAATGCTGATCAGCCGCTCGTTCATTTGTTCATTCTACTACCCTGGAGGTCGCAGTTTCGAGACTCAATGGAATTTTGTGAGATACGCACTGCCGGTGCTTCGCAAAGAGGACTGTACAGTTTCTAATCACTTTTTCTGCATATTTTGGCTTCATGTACAGAACTAAATCTCCATCAAAAATTCCCAACCAACAGAGGTGTACTATTATTTATCAAACTACACTAAAGATACTCAGCTGAAGGTCATTCCACGATGCCCATCCAACCCAAACGTCTACTGCTCGATTAAGGAGATGTCCCTCATATACTTAAATCCACCTAAAGGCAACGTAAAGATTTCATAAAGGAAACTACTCACAATGTTGCTGAAAACTCTTTGACAGCCCACGCGGAAGTTTCCATGAGCGCTTGTTTCTGTTGTTTCGAAGTGGCAGAAATCTTGATGTGGACAGAACTTGATATGACAGAATGGAATGATATATGTTGCTAAAAGTTTCTGCGCTGTCCCACTTCCACGCACGTGCTTGGTTGGGCAATGTGGCGACTAACCGATGTGAGTGACGTTCGTACGGTCAGCTTCTGTCCACATAGTCTGACTGTGTGTAGACAACCCGTCACTGCCGTCTTCCTGGATGGGGACCCCGAGACAGGCCACATTAATGGCTAGAGACATTGGCCAGTCATGCCCTCAATGGCGCTCGTGCATCCAGACTATTACTTGCAATGCACAGCTACTTTTCCACCCCACACTTGACAACCCACTGACAGTGCTGGATTTATGCACCAATTTATCATCTCCCGCCTGCAATGCGCAGCTACCTACCCCCCTCCCCAAAATCATCGATGAACGAAACTGCGGCAGCTACAACCACTGTACGACGAGTACGCGGTTATTACAGCTGTCAATGATGATGATGATGAGACACCCCCGATTTGCCCTAGGTCTCCCTCTCTGTCCCTTTATTTCCACTATTTATCAGTTGTGCGGTAGTGAAGCATCAGAGTTTTCCTCTGGTGTCTGAATCATTCGTTTTTCCACAGTTCTCCGCCAATCCTTCCACAGTCATACTAGACAGTTGAAATTAAAGGCTGGACTGCAGTTTCTATCTTATTCGAGCTAACCAGTGGGTTCACATTCCCCGTTCTATGTGGACTGGAATCCTGTTGAACAACTTTGTGTGCAACTGGTCTACGGGACAGAAACCCGATCCACGTTGTGCTTTGACCTTATTGTGCCTGGTTGGAGACACTAGAAGATATGGCTGCCAACCGATGTCAGTGGCGTTCTTGTTGTCAGTTTCTGTCCAGATCGCCTGANNNGTGTAGGCACTTCGGAATGATTGTGTTAAGCTAGCACTAAGTTCCTTCCCCGTCCACCTTTATTCTTTTCTTCACAATCAGGCTTTCAATTTAATCATGGTTGTACGGCAGCGAAGCATCGGCGTTGAACACTGATGTCATGCTGTCGATGATGATGATGACTGTCTGTGTGACTTGAGATGATAGGCTCTAATCTTTCTGTTGGAGCCACCCCGTCAAAGCAGCTGGTTTGCTATTTTAGAGCTTTAGAAGACCGTATCTTAACATCCGTCTTCTTACGTTTCTTGGCTCGCTAAACTGTCTTTCTTTGTTTAGCTTGAGCACAGTCCGACCAACATTAGTGACCAAAGTCGGTCACACGATCAGTATGTGACCGCAGCATTACTCGCTTCCGATCGTCGCCTTGAAAACCAGTTGCTCCCCACTGTAATGTAATGTAAGTTGACGATACGTTGCACAGAACGGACACCAGAAACAAAAATATTAATACGAAAAGTATAAGGTAACTTGAACGAAATAGCACAACTATAGTTACTTTTACGTCGTCACTCGAAGAACCAGTCAACATGTGACCACGTGATGTATATTCGGTGGTTGAAAAATGAATGGCGCTACACCCTCTCTAGGCGCCAGTTAAGCATAATGCTGATCAGCCGCTCGTTCATTTGTTCATTCTACTACCCTGGAGGTCGCAGTTTCGAGACTCAATGGAATTTTGTGAGATACGCACTGCCGGTGCTTCGCAAAGAGGACTGTACAGTTTCTAATCACTTTTTCTGCATATTTTGGCTTCATGTACAGAACTAAATCTCCATCAAAAATTCCCAACCAACAGAGGTGTACTATTATTTATCAAACTACACTAAAGATACTCAGCTGAAGGTCATTCCACGATGCCCATCCAACCCAAACGTCTACTGCTCGATTAAGGAGATGTCCCTCATATACTTAAATCCACCTAAAGGCAACGTAAAGATTTCATAAAGGAAACTACTCACAATGTTGCTGAAAACTCTTTGACAGCCCACGACCGGTTTCGCCCTTCTTGGGGATCATCAGGTAGGCACAGTCCCCAAATTGATTCGCAAATGAGTGTATTTCTCGAGAACAGTGCAATTTGGGTTCAAGTAGATCATAAGGTTGACAGAAACTTGGGGACTGCACCTACCTGATGAGCCCCAAGAAGGGTGGAACCGGTCGTGGGCTGTCAAAGAGTTTTCAGGAACCTTGTGAGTAATTTCCTTCATGAAAATATACTGCGATATCTTGAATATCGTGCCAACTGAATTATGAGGTGGCCCGTGTACAGCATATTCAGTTGTAGAATATCATAAAATAGAGATCCAGCTGAGTTTCCCTGAAAACCAAATTGATTTGCAAATGAGTGTATTTCTCGAGCAACGTAAAGATCTTTGCGTGTGACCAGTGCCCGGACCGTTAGAAAAGAGTTTCTCCAGAGAGATGAACTTTTTGTGGATTCAATAACCCACTGTTCATGACACTTACTGCGTTGCTTAAATTTGAATACCAAAAGCGTAGCTGTTGATATAGGAACATATCTATAACTTGTGAGATTGCGCACAAGTCCTCGATTTTGATCTACGTGAATGCATGTGCGCCGTCCGTCTGGGCGCGTGGTTCGTCTCGGAACGTTGGCAATGGCCTTGGCGCGGTAGCTAAGTGACCTTGAGTGTTATTGTTATCTGGCCGTGTTAATTCATGTAATGTGGCGTTTTCGTGAACATCAGTTTGACAGGACTAATCAAGAGTGAACTGGTCATTATTTTAGGAGGCGTGCTTACACTGAATCACCATTGATTCGAGCAAAAAGATTGGGTCTGAAAATTTTAGGCTTAAGCAGGAGCATTCTTGTGGAAACTATCCTCAGTGATGCAACCGATAGAATGCGATCAACGCAAGAATGGAAGAATACTTACTCGGAGTGTATAACAGTATGACTGCACCGCAGATGACCAGTTCGGTCAAGCTCATTGTTTCTCAGGCTGTTTTGGTGCCTCGGTTATAAATTGCTTCCAAAGGGAGAACTGTCGGTCTGTACATATGTCAACTGCGGTATGTGAGCGGTCTGGTGATCAGCTGACAGTCAGCCTTTTGAGGAATCGATCGGAAAGTCGATAGTTGACATTTTGTCTCACACAAGCCAGTCACACTCATGGTGTTGTTAGTGAAACGCTTCGTGCTCATCCTCTTATCGATTGTTTCAGTTCGCTCATCCGAAAATTTGGAAAATAGGACAGCGGAAGAGCCTGAAATTCCAGATGTCGATGATCCGCTGAAAACCTGCCCCGGGAAGGATGAAAGGAAATTTTATGAAGACCCCATTTCTTGTCTAATCCGTCGATCCGAAATGGCGACAAAGCAACATGTGGGAATTCTCGTGGCTTATGGCTCCAGTGAAACGTTAGAACTCCAATGCCAAGTGTGTAGTGGTGAACGATTATCAAGATTTAAATGGTTCAAAGTCTCCCGCTCGAAGCCCGGTAAGCCAATGATCTTGGTTGAAGATAGGCTAGACAACAAACACTGGGTTCTCGACAAATCGATGCTTGAGGAAGTGATCAGTGAACAAGTCGGGCCCAAAAAGTACAACCCTTGTCTGTGGCGTAAAACCAATACTCTTCACTTTGACGATTTTCAGGTGCCACAGGACTTGGGCACCTATGTTTGCATGCATACGCGATCGGCCACTCACGCTGTCAACAATATTTGGTACCATGTGGACACCATCTTACCTTATGCGCAGTTTGCTGACCCTGTTGACTTGCCAGCCAAACATCAGATGCATAGTAGAGTAGAATCATTGTCTCAAATTCGGACACTTCAAGAAACACTGGATCATGATTTGGCTGTATTGCCGGATTTTGTAGACATGTATTTTGATACGCTGCAAATCACCTCTCGTTTGTTCAACAATCTACCCAGGTCAACTCAGTGTGGTGAGGTTCCCGTTCGCTCAGATCGTGCCTGCTTCGTGCGCATTCAGCCAGAAGTGATGTCCCAATTGCAATTCGCGGACGAACCGAATAAATTAATCTACAATGTCCTACGACATACGTTTGAATTTCTCATTAATTACCAGCTGGCCACGGAGAGCAGTCAGCGAGTGGTACGTCAGGAAGCGGCCAGAAGAAAGGCCGCTGAACTCGGATTTTACATGCAAATCAACGATACGGAAATATATGTTCCTTGCACTTACACACTGTTCAAACATCTACCCGACCTGGATGGGGCGTTCAATCCGCTTGGCAAAAGGGGACTGTATTCTGAGATGGTCTACGACTTTGCTTGTCCAGAACTAGACCCAATGGATTTGATCAACTTGGCATTGGAACGAGATGTCACCAGGATGAAAGTTCAAATGCTCGGACTGACGGATGTCCGCTTCATGAAAATCGAGAAGGTCGGCGTGGAAGGGAAGGCATTTCTACGCATATCATGTAATTTGGATCCCCAGGCGAATTGCTCCGGCTGGAGAAGTGACGCTTTGTGGAAATTTAAGTCCGAGGTATCCTTCCACAGACGAACCATGATGAATGAACGAATCTATATGAGCGAAAACTGTGATCTGGTTATAACCAACCTAGAACGCAATGACAGTGGGAACTACGAGTGTTTTGTGCGTGATCCACGCAACCCAGCTGCTTGGCAGCGTGTTCCCCACATTGCCTATCGCGTTTCTGTGGAAAAGGCTACTTACAAATGGCCTGAAGAGTCAGATCTCCTAATCGGGATATTCATCCTCATCACGTGGTCTGTGTGTATTTGTATTGCTTGGACGTGTCTGATGGGTTACAATTACCATGTGTATACAGCTGCGCTTGTGATTGCAGCGGCCAGACAAAAACAGTTAAAAGAAGCTTTGGGGGAAGTGATTTCGCAAGACGATGGAGCTATGCCTCAAGAAGAGGATGACGGAGTCGCCATGGAAACATGGGAAAATGATGAAGTGCAGCAAGACGTGGAGGACACTGCGGAAACGGAAGAGGAAGACGAGGTGGTTTCAGAAGACTTATCGGAAGTGGAACCACCGGATGATGAATACAGTGGTCCTGAAAAGACTTCGTCCGTTGAAGCCTAGTCGCTATTTTGACCTGTTGTATTGCTGCTCGAAGGTGCCTTGGATTGTGTTTTCTAGGCTGGAAGTTTTTGACTAAAGTACACTTTCTTGACTCGTCTGGTTTTATCCTGATAGAAGTCAACCATAACCTCGTGTCAAATTCATGCTGCCTCAAAACTGCCTCCCAACATGATACCAGGGTCTAAACAAGTTCACTTAGTATGGTCATTTCGGGGCCAAACGCATATGGCCCCGGATTCATGTGCGTTCATGGGCGTTCAGAACCATCCACTCTTCACTTGTTCCTTAGAGTACGTTTCAGACATAAGGGAAGGTCTTCATTGATCAAACCAACTCGTAGAATATAACATTTTCAATAAGACTTTTCATGTGGTTCGTTCAGATCTGGGAACCCCTGGAACCATGAAGTCAAACTCCACATTCAGATCGAAATAAGATTCCCCATACTCTGAAATAGCGACGCCCAGTGATAATAGTAAGTTTGCTCAAGGTGTAAACTTTCGTTGTCTGAATAAATTGGCTTGAACAGAGTGGATACTTTGTGTGATTCTTATCACGATTCAAACATATTTTGCCCTTTTGAGTGAATCTCTTTTCGAAATGAAGGACACAAAAGTGACGGTAGACTACCTTGAAAATGTCCGTTAGCTCAGAGTTGGCTACTTTTTTTTCACCGCCTGTCCTCTTTCGGCAATGGCTGTGTTTGCCGTTTGTATGAAACTGGTGAATCGTTCTGTGCGTTATGTTTATCTTTGTGTAGTCAACCAAACAGTGCACAGGCGCCAAACATTTGCGGTGACAAAATCAATACCTGAAACCAGTTCGTAATAAAATGTGATCAGCGCGGATCAGTGGATCAAAAACAACACCGGAATGTACTGTTGTCGCGTGGGTTTGATCATTTTCTTGTTACTCATTCAAAAAGAAGGTAGGTTGATAGAGAATGAAACGGATCGACTGTTTTTATGTGAAACAATGATTTGTTTAAGTGCAGCATGTTGACCGTCCCGAGCCCTCAACGAAACTTGACATGCGTCGACCAATTATTTTGCTTCGTTCATTTACCGATCGATACTATGTGTAGGCTGTTCTAGTCGGGTGACTCAACTACAGCATTCGCCGTAATCCTATTGGATTTGATTTTGATTCTGATGATTTTAAGTGGTTATCAATTTACATAAGAGTTATCGAGTTACTTCAGCGCAGAGTAGAGTAATTCTCCTAACACAAGCACCTCTTTGTCCCCTCCTCGGCGTAGCTCTTCCTGGGTCCGATGTGTAAAGTACAACTCCAACACATCAGGTTGCGGAAGAATCGCAGGTAAAAATCATGACAACTCCCAGGAATGTTTTACTGGAAGAAGTACATACATACGTCAGCTTTAATAACAGCACACTTGTCCTACAGTGTTCATAGCTACGACAGCTTCGTTCACCGATTGTTTGGGGGCATGAGTAGATACCTGCGCATTGGAGATCATGGCTAATATAATTGGTGCCGAAGTACAGGGTTTTCATTGGGCTTTTCTTTGGGGAGATTTGGAGGGACTGTGCATTGAAGTCAATAGCTTGGATACACTGAGGTCGCGTCTGATTCATTTTTGACAATATCTCTAACCATCAGTGAGTCCCGTCTCGGGGTCTCCATCCGGGAAGACGGCAATGACCAGCGCAGATGAGTTTGTTTTCATACACAACTACTAAGTTATCGTTTAACCTCCCCTGGCTCGTTTCCACCCTTCACGTAGTTTTGCGTTAAGAGCCCCTCCAGAACGCCGGTCGGCTGGCATACGGAGCACCACAGGTCCTTGCCTGATCAGGGTCGGTCAACAGCCGCCCTTCAAGGGGAAGCATTTCGACCGGCCATCACGACGTTTGCTCATCTACTAACGCGAGCCGTCTGCGATGGGCTTGTGGGAGCGCGTATGAAAATTGCGTTTGATCCCAGGTCAGTTACATGTGCACACAGCCTGATGTGCGATGCCTAGTGCCTGGACTGACTGGTCTTTGAAACCGGTGGATTTGTTGTCCACTGTTCTACTGTAATGCTCACGTGGAATGTGGTTGATCCCACCAAAGTCGCTGTAGAAAACCCGTAGAGCATCTGGGCCAGAAAGCCCCGCTGCAGACTGAACGTTCAAGCAGTCAACCGACTTAGCAACCGCTGACAATAATGTGTGCTTACCCAACACCGATCGGACGACCTGGATCGAGGTAGAAAATGCACTTTAATTACCACAGGAACCCTTATAAGTTTTGCACCCGCTTGTTCCCAATAAATCTGTCGTGTTCCTTGTTAGCGAGTCTTTCCGACATTAGGGCACTGGAGCGGATACAGCAGTTACTCACGATAGTAACTTTGACTGTGTCTTGTGTGGTTGTCTTCGACAACGTCACGTGATTACGCCAGTAGTATGCACCATTGACCGGGCCCAGTCAACAGGCTTGGTCACAGATAAATCAGCTCATTCAATCGAGGATTGAACAACAAAAAGGCACATCTGAATCGTGCCGGACCAATTGATCCTGTAACAACGTGCGTTCGTTGTCGAATTGTACATGTCAAGATGCTTCCGACTGTTAAAAAACGTCAGAATCGACCAGAATTTCTCTATATCCATTTTTTTTCATTTGGGCACTGGAGCGGATACAGCAGTTACTCACGATAGTAACTTTGACTGTGTCTTGTGTGGTTGTCTTCGACAACGTCACGTGATTACGCCAGTAGTATGCACCATTGACCGGGCCCAGTAAACCACGGGAGCGCTCTGAAAAATGCGGTTGTACTTATCTTGTCTAGACCCACAAGGTCAAGTGCATTAATGACATTCTGATTGGTCGTGACCGTCATAAATCAGAATCACTGATGAAACTAACAACCGGATTCACCAAACCTGTTCGAAGGACTCAAGTAGTCCTCTTTTTCATAATGTTTTAGTAGTCAGTACGTCTTTTCGCCCTTGATTTCAGACAGTCGTTAATGACAGCTTGCCAGTACCCAAGATAGGTGATTGTATTCACGTTCATCACGGTAATTCACGAGACTGAGTTCTTTGCAACTGCTTTCTTCAAAACAGTCTTTACAGACGCTGTGATTTAATACACTAAAATGTCAAACCTTGACGTGTGGGAGTTTTACACTGGCTGATCCAAGTGAATAAATAGCAAATCACGTGACTGCCTCTGCGTTGTTCAAATTGGCCATTCGGTGGTCGAATTGACAAGTGGCTGCTGGACTCTGTTGCATAAATAAATATCTAGCAACATCAGGCACCTGAAGTTTGTATAAACAATGGCGCGAGGTAGAATCTTACAAAATCTTTCAGGCAGTCATTTCCAAATCCTATGGCTCAACTCCATCCTTTGTTAACCCGGTAGGCACAGGTATCTTCCCGTAGAGATATATGCTGTTAACTTTATCCCCGCCCACAACTTCCTGGTTGATCGCTAACCTGGTAAATAGACGGCAAATGTGGGTTGTATAATCTCCGCTTTAATTTGTCAATCTTTTGCATTGCTTTCTTGTTCTTAGCCATCTCATAATAGTTGGCCTTGTACTTCTGAATGTAGCCTATTGCAAAACCTCCAGCGAGCCATCCGTAGTTCCTTTGAGGCCGTTGTTTGATAGTTGTCCATTTGGGTTGACTTCGGCCTTTAGCAGCACTTATCTGCTCTTCGCTCGCGCTCTCCCTTGAAATTCACATCACTATCTTAGGTCTGAAAATGGTTCTAAAGCAACTAAGATTTTTACGGTCAATCAGTTAAATCCCTTCCAGTAAAGTACACATGACTCTGTCTGACCCATCTGCTACAGAAAACAATCCCGCAGAAGAGATGAATACAAATTCGTCACTTTGTGACTGCAAATAAGACAAGCGATTATGAATGATCTCTCCAGAATAAGAGCACTGACAGTCTTCACTGGTGCCTAGTGGTCACAAACTGGACAGATAACTAGCTGCAGTAGTTTCCTGAAGGTAACTACTCACAAGAATGGCGAAGCCTATCACGGGCTCTCGGGAAGTCTTCAGTAGGCTTACAAGTAGTTTCCTTCATGAAAATATACTGCGATATCTAGAATATCGTGCCAACTAAAACTCTGGGCTGCACATTCGTTCATGGAATATCATAAACGATGGATTCAGCTTGCATTCTGTTTGTTCAAACCGAATTGATGTGCAAATGTGTGTCCTTCCGGTAGGTCTGACTTGGCCCGATAAAGCAACACAAATCGAATCCAAAACGAGCCTTGTTCTAGGAAGTGGCTCTGCTCCCAGTATCTGCTTGTTTCTGACTTTATTGAGCAATCTGGGATTGGCAGTGGTCCTGTATATAGAATTTGAAAGCAGAGACATCTTTCACATGGACCCAATCAACTTCTTGAGCGAAGCGCTTTTGCTCGATTGAAATGTGGTCATAAAATCTCTTTATCAAGGGGTATTCATCACATGGAATGACAGACAGTTCCGCTCCGACCACGAATCCGTTTGCACCAAAGGCATTCGTGATAGTGTCCAGATGCACCTCGTTTCGGAGTCTGTCGGTAACTTGCTTGAAGTAAGTTCGGTGACCCCCCATTTTCGGCCTCCTGGATAGCGAAATTCGGCAGAAATTTTATGTTCTTGCACTGCAGTGACGAGACAACTTCTAAGCCCAATGGTTTGTAGTGGAAGGTCAGCGGATGATAGATGTTCAGAACGAATGTTGGAGAATTTCCGTGAGTCTTCATCTGCTATCGCGTACCGATTAGGAGTAGAGAGATAATCTCGAAACAAGGAATCTCCAGAGTGATCATTCTTCAATGAGGATCCAGAGTGGTCCATAACCCGTGGGTGACGTAGCCTGCTTGTCTTCCAGCAAGCACCCGTGAGAGCTTTTCTTGAGTGACTGAATATGAAACTGTCTATTCTAGTACCTAATCAGGCTCTGATGTGGTTTACTTCTAGGATAGTGGTCAGCAGAACCATTTCGGCACGTAAGGAACTTTCGATTATCGACATTTCCTCATGATGATGCAGGAACCGCGAGAACCTTTGTAAGAGAACCTAGTTGACATCCTAGTATGTCGTTTGTCTCACAATACTATCCCTGAACATCGAAACTATAGGCCACAGTCAACGCTTTCTTATTCCTGTGCGTTTTTTAATTGCTCTCCAATACATTCCCACTTTAGTTGCTACCAAGAGTTGTGTTGCCTTTGGTGACTTCTCAAAATCCGAGGTTGTCTACCCACACGTACATCTACGATTCTTTTGATCGTGTCCTTATCGCAGCAGCGGTTATGTGAACCGATGGGACCACCTATAGAGAGCTTCTGAAGGTGTTGGTCTTGCTTCAGCTTCACACATTATGATCCTGGTGCATGTGTACTGACACTCGTCCGAAGCGAGTTACGACTGACTGCAAGAGGACCGTCCGAAAAAAAAAGCATTCCTAATCGCAAAAAGCAGATTTGCAAGCTTAACGGAATGTCCAATCAGGTTTGAGCTACTAGAGCGCTTCATCCAAGTTCGGTCACTCTGCCTATACCCAACCCACGATCATATGATTCAGCCACGTGGTCACGTGCCACACAGACATGCATACTGTTTTGGAGATCGATTGACATGTGTCTACATGGATTTTTGAACGGAATATGCATCGATCGCAAACGCGTGCGTGTTTTAGGCCAACGCAGTGCATCCGTTGTGCCCCTACAACACAGCGTTTTATCGAGCCGCTCGCCATTCTTCAGGAGGAAGTAATTAGGTGCACAAACCAATTTGTTGAGTTGATACACTAGTTATTAGGTTGCTGCAAACGGCGTATGCCCGGTTTCGGTAGGCGCAGTCTCCAAGTTTCAGTCAACTTTATGTTCCACTTGAACCCAAATTGGCAGACTTCAACAAGCACACTCACCTACCAATTTGGTTTTGACGGGAGACTCACTTGGAACCCAGCTGAACCTCTCTCTCTCTTATGATGTTCCTTAATAAAATCGATTGTGGGCCGTCGAAGAGTTTCACCAAGCTCATGAGTAGTGTATTAAGCTCGTAAAGTGTATCGTGATATCTTGAATTCCGTATCAGCTAAAACATTAGGCGGTCTCGTGCAGCGCATTCAGTTGCTTAAGAACATCATTATCTGGGTTCCAGGTGAGTATCGTGAAAGCCAAACTGATATGCGAGTGTGGTAATTTGCTCAGCCGTTTGGTCGATGCGGAAGAAAAGATTATGAGCGGCATGGAGTGCGCAGCTGTGACTTATTGATAAGCATCACCTTAAACAGAAGACAGTATGAACCAATAGTGCATAGTTGGTAAGGTCAAATCGAACGTGATTCGCATGGACTAGGCCCCGCATGTCACAGCAGACAGACACAGACAAACGCAGAAGCACGAAACGCACCACTTGCTGTTTTCTAAGAGGGTGTTCGTTTCCAACTTTAGCACAAATATCGAGCACGTCCTCTTTTCCGTAAAAGCCTATGAGTGGGTTCCAGTGCCCGTTCCGTGATCGAAAGATTGCTAAAGAAAGCACCCGCTCGAGTCTCCGGATTTCTCTGCAGGCGTGCTCAACAGGGCATAGTCAGAACGATGATGTGGATGTGACCAGTTCAACCAGGCAGCCATTTTCTGACTGAATCGAGCTTTTAGGCTGTTTATACAACTGTTGGACGGTCGTCACGCACAGGTGAATGCACCACACTTGCACTTTCGGACGGTGATTGACCGTACCCTGAGCATGCGGGATTGTTTGTCCCGCTTGCCAGCACAGATCGGTGAATGAATGAATGAATGCTTAAAGAAACGTCTCCACCATAGCTTGTGATCACACCACGCAACACCGAACGTTTTTCAAGCTGATTTTCGTGTCGCCACATCAAGGAATAAGTTTCGTGTATTTTTTGTAATGCACTACCCATAAGGTTGCTGAAGACTCTTCGGCAGCCCACGACCGCTTTCGTCCTTTCCATTTGGACTCTTCAAGTAGGCGCAGTCCCCGAGTTTCCGTCAACCTTATGTTCTACTTGAAACCACGAAATCAGTAAATTTACACTCATTCCCAAACTAATTTGGTTTTTCGAGAGACTCACCTGGAACCCAGCTGAATCTCTCAATTACATATGTATACATGTAACTCGAATTCTCAAATGTCGTAGCGACTGAAACATGA